CCAGCAGCCGCCGCCGCCCCCGCCCCAGCAGCAGCCACCGCTGTCACAGTGCAGTATGAACAACAGTTTCACTCCAGCGCCTATGATCATGGAGATCCCGGAGTCGGGGAGCACTGGGAACATCAGTATCTACGAGAGGATTCCCGGGGACTTTGGTGCCGGCAGCTACTCCCAGCCGTCAGCCACCTTCAGCTTGGCCAAGCTGCAGCAGCTGACCAACACCATTATGGACCCTCATGCCATGCCTTATAGCCATTCTCCTGCCGTGACTTCCTATGCAACCAGCGTCTCTCTGTCGAACACAGGACTGGCTCAGCTAGCTCCATCTCACCCATTGGCCGGGACCCCTCAAGCACAAGCCACCATGACGCCACCCCCAAACTTGGCATCCACGACCATGAACCTCACATCACCTCTGCTACAGTGCAACATGTCCGCCACCAACATTGGCATTCCTCACACTCAGAGGTTGCAGGGGCAGATGCCAGTCAAAGGGCACATTTCCATCCGCTCCAAATCTGCACCACTGCCCTCCGCGGCTGCCCACCAGCAGCAGCTGTATGGCCGCAGCCCACCAGCAGTCGCCATGCAGGCCGGCCCTCGTGCACTGGCTGTTCAGCGTGGCATGAACATGGGGGTTAACTTAATGCCCACCCCCGCCTATAATGTCAATTCCATGAATATGAACACCTTGAATGCCATGAACAGCTATCGGATGACGCAGCCCATGATGAACAGCAGTTACCATAGTAACCCTGCCTACATGAACCAGACAGCACAGTATCCTATGCAGATGCAGATGGGGATGATGGGGAGCCAGGCCTATACCCAGCAGCCTATGCAGCCAAACCCTCATGGCAACATGATGTACACTGGCCCCTCCCATCACAGCTACATGAACGCTGCTGGCGTGCCCAAGCAGTCGCTCAACGGCCCTTACATGAGGAGATGAGCAGGGCGGACTTGCAGTGAGACTCTGAGATATATATAAATAAAGGAACCTTTTATACTGACAAACCAGAGAAAAATGGACCTTTTTTTCCAGTTAAAATATTGCTGTAGATTTAGAGGAATTTTTCTTTGGTTTCTTTTATTTTTTAGAAAACCTGATCTTCCCCTTTATTGGGTTCGTTTTGTTCTGGGTTTTGGTTTTCTTCATAATCTTGAACATTTTACAGTAGAACTCACCTAAAAACGGATTTGGGGATGGGGAAACATGCACAAAATCTTTTCATAATTAAAAAGAGCCTTACTTTCTTTACACACCACATGGACAGCATTTGTGTAAAAGTGAATTATCCTTATTTCATCTTGAAATGTATGTTCCCCCTCACTGTTTGCAGCTCCCAGTGTGGTCATTTTTAAATGTTAGATACACCTCTGTCTCCAGGGACAGCCGGACCCTTCCCTCCAGCCCGACCCTCACGTCCTACTTCATTCCAGCAGGAGGCACTTACGGGAGACTCGGGTGGGAGGACAACCTTAAAGCTCCTTACACTTACTCTGTTTGTTGTTGTTGTTGTTGTTATTATTAATAATAAAGCGAGGCAGGAAAATGCTTCTTTTAAAATCCCCTCCACTCCCTGTATACACACACACACACACACACACACACAAGCACGCATGCACACACCCCACTTGAAACCTTTCCCCAAAAATGTTTGTTTCTAGACGGACTTCATTGAAATCTTTGTTTTTCCTGAATCGAGTGTAATAGAATTTTTCTTGCCTTTTTTTTTTTTTTTTAAACTATTCCCACTCAGCACTCAGAGACACAAAACAATACTATAAGTGTCAAGGAACCGCAGAGTCTCAGAGGAAAGCTATTTGCAACCCTAATCCAGCCTTTGGAGGAGTAGAGATGGTCAGTTAACAATCAGAAAGAGGAAGTCGGCCTCTTTACCGCCTGCTGAATCAGCCATGACGCACACACCCCACCCGCCTCTGTTCTTAGTATGTACGCTGAGATGTTCACTAAGGGTCTTGATTCTTGAGCCTTGGACTCCGATAGGACTCAGAAAGCAGTCCCCAGTGATTCGCCTCACATTCTTGCATAAAGTGTTGGTGGATGACTACCGTTCGGTGATTTGAAAAATTCCTGACAAACCTTTGACACTGTTTATTTTATGTTGGAAGAGGTGATGCCGAATGTGTGCCGGAAGGGAGATGATGGTGCGAGCGTTCCAGCTCCGTCAGTAATACATACCTCTCGTTGTCATTTGTCTCCGGAGATCCGAGTTCATCCCCTGTGAATCGGAGTGCGCCAGCCCCTCTCCTGCGAGTGGCTGATGAGAAGAGGGATAGACCAACCACCAGCATAGCAGGGCAGCCCAGACAGCGGGGTTCTGGCAGGTCACGTGTGGTTCCTAACCCATTCTCTTCCCTTGTGCAGCCAGTCTGCCCACTCTCTTCCTGTTACTTGCTCCAGGGATCGGCTGTAACACACACACACACACACACACACACACACGTATATGAATATATACACACACACACCATCATTAGAAGATGGAAGCTTTTATACCACTCGGTATGTGCCGTCTAACATCCAAAGGGGGAAGTACTGCTTAAAGAAATACCAGTAAGCACCGAATTCTCTCCTTTATTTGTACATTTTATATAGGTGAATTTTTAAAGTACTAATTAGGCATTAAATTTTTTCAGATGCACAGGTTTGTTGGTTTTTTTATATACACTTTAATTGACTCTCTCAATTGAGTGTGTTAGCTAGCAGAAGGCAGAATCCCACATCTGACCGCTGTCCACTCAGCATGTGCAAGGCCGTGTAGGACCCAGGTTCTCTGTATATACCGTTCCAGTTCCCAGTCCTCTGTAGAAAGTGCACTGTGGTGCCCTCTCCCTACATCTTCAGCTATGTCATTGCTTCCTGGTTGGGGTGGGGATGGGGTGGGACGGGGAGGGAGGCATATTGGGAGGAGGGTGGGTCAAGGCAGAAGGAGAAGCTGTTGAAAGGAGAACCGTGAATTCAGTTTCTGTTGGTTTGCAGTTGTGTTTGGTTTTGTTTCTTTAAAAAAAAAAAAAAAATCAATCGGGCAGCTCCCTTTTCCACAAGCCTCTTTGTGACTGTAGAACTATTGTAGAAAAAAAAAATGTTCTTTTCTATATTATAAAAGAAATTATCCAACACAGTAATATTGGTACCTGTCATTTTTTCACTTCTGTTTAAAAAAAAATGTATTTTTAGCAAGATAACTTGGGTAATCTTCTAAAAAAGAAATTTAAAAACTCACTGTTAGTGACTTTGATGCCTTTTAAAATAAGAGCTTTTTCATTTCATTCCATCTTTAAAATTTTTTATCTTTGTTGTAGAATATTAAAAACTATTTTAAGAAAGATAAAAATTCTCTTTAAAGAGATCTCTAGAGTGTGTGAATAGAGCTCCAGATGCCTCTAAAAGCCGCATGTACAAATGAAGCAACGTCTATCCCTGTCTGTTTATATTTGCTTTTCCTGTTTTGTAACCTCTTTGTACCTTGTTCATGGTGACTTGTAAGCTCAGGGGAAGGGGTGCCCAGATGCCTTTGCATCTCTCGTCATGCGCTCCTGGGCCGGGTGGCCTCCCTTCCTCTCCTTGTATGTAATATCTTTTTTTTCCCCTTTCTAGCAAGTACTTTCAAAAGAACTGTACATTTTAACATAAAAAAAAATAAATTATGTTGAGCCATTTTGGATGTCTGTCGTGCATGTGGAATTTTTCTCCCTCCCAAACACGTCGCACTCTCCGATTCCCCCTCCCCAGATAGAGGCCTGTACATGTTAGTCTCGCCATTTCACTATGTAAGTCCATGGCCTTTGTCCTGAACTTCCCGTTTTCAGTCCACATAGACGCTGAAATGCCCACAAGATGGACGGATTTTCCTTCCCGAGGAAAATGTGTGGTGAGCTCACTTGGGCGTTTGTA